GCCGGCGGAGGCTCGTCTATCCCGTAGCCAATACATTGTAATTTTTTAGTTTTTAGTTTTTAATTTTTACTAGGGTTTTCTACTTTTCTCATCTTGTAAATTAGCATAAAAAAGCCTTCTATATTTTTTGTCTTTTCATTGTAAAAAACAATAAATTGGTGGAGGGAAAGCCACAAAGGTGGAAAAAAAGCAGCACTTTAGGCAATTAGGCGGGCAAAATTTGGGGGGGAAATCACAAAACCGGGGTTCAACTGCGAGTTTGACCGGTCTTGACCAATTTTCAACTCTCTTGGTTTTTATATATAAATCGGCTCGAATGCTTGCTCGATTCCCGGTTGGACCAGTTGAACCGACTGATTCGATCCGGTTTTAAAAACACAGCTTAATACCAAAAACCAAAACTTTTCGCCAAATAAATCAATTCCTCCTCATATCACTCTGCAACGTATCTTACAAAATCATCTCTAAAGTCCTAGCCAATCGCTTGAAAACAACCCTACCTTTTATCATATCTGACTCCCAATCCGCGTTTGTTCCGGGCTGCCTTATAACTGATAACATTCTTATCGCCCAGAAAATGCATCATACCATTCGATCAAAGAATTTAGGAAAAGGGGGATGATATCCCTCAAGCTCGACATGAGCAAAGTTTTCGACCGAGTAGAATGGAACTTCGTCCTTCAAGTCATGTCATCACTAGGTTCCAGCAACACCTTTGACTCATTAATTAGAAGGTGCATCACCACCACTTCCTTTCCTTTTTTACTAAATGGACAAGAATTTGGTTCGCTGACCCCGCAACGTGGTATTAGGCAAGGAGACCCTCTGTCTCCTTACATATTTATCATTTGCGCTGAAGTTTTCTCTGTTCTTTTGCAGGATGCTCACAGAAGTGGAAACCTACAGGGAATTCAAATAGCTCCAACATCACCAGTCATCACCCACCTCTTTTTTGTAGATGATACCCTACTGCTTGGCCATGCAACAGAGAAGGAAGGCGACAGGATGGTCAAAGTAATAAAGCTCTATGAATCGGTATCTGGACAGTTGATTAATTTTGAAAAATCAGAAGTAGTATTCAGTCAGAATGTCACAACTGGATTAGCACAATTTTTGGCCGCTAGATTAGGTGTCCAGTAGCAGGAATCACATGAAAAATACCTAGGCCTTCCCACCACTTTTGGAAGGAAGAAGAAAGAAATCTTCAACAATTGGAAGGACCGAATGAGGAGCAAAATTGAAGGGTGGTTCAAAAAGTTTCTCTCACTAGCCCGAAAAGAAATCCTAATCAAATCAATTCCCCAAACCATCCCTACATATGCTATGAGCTGCTTCAAAATCCCAGATACAACATGTGAGGTCTAGGTTTCAAGAACATGAAACTTTTCAATCTCTCCCTCCTTGGAAAACAAGCTTGGAGACTGCTTGTTAACCCCAGATCACTGTTGTTTCAAGTCCTCAAAGGTAAATATTTTCCTAATAATAATTTCTTGAACGCCACTGCAGGAACAAAACCATCTTTCAGCTGGAGGTGCATCCTAGAAGGACGAAAGGTTCTACTCACAGGCATTCTCAAGAGAGTTGAAAATGACACAGCGATAGACATTTGGGACGATCCCTGGTTCCCTCGACCATTTTCCTTCAAAGTGCTATTGCCAAAGCCGAATGTCCTCCCATCCACAACAGAGTTACTCTAACAAATCTTCTGGCCTGACGAAGCAGAGACGATCTAAAGCATCCCCCTCAGTTGGGATTCACTACCGGACCGCTGGATCTGGCAGTACACAAAGCATGGAAAATACACTGTATCCTCAGCCTATAAGGTGCTCCTCACACATCCAGGCTTCCAAACAAATGAAATTCTCGATGCCTCTGATCCATCTGAATCCTTGTCCTTATGGCGGAACCTTTGGAGCCTAAATGTCACGCCAAAAGTGAAGCACTTCACCTGGAGAATTCTCACAAGCACTCTAGCAACCAAAGGCAACCTGCTTTGCAAGAGAGTCCCCATAGACCATGCGTGCTATATATGCGCCTCTTCGGAGACCAACACCCATACACTTTTTGAGTGCAGCCTAGCCATCGCTGTGTGGAAAGAGCTGGGAATTGATCAACCCATTTACAGCATGAAGTAACCTTCTGCAGACAGCTGGACAACGGACTTGCTGTCTAAACTGTCTAGAGTTAATAAACTAAAATTACACCTTGGATCTTACAATTTGTGGCAAGCAAGGAACACTTTCATGTTTAAAGGTCGCAAGAGAACGGAAGAAGATATACATCATGCAACGGTCAACATGCTGGAGATATGGGAATCGACTACCTCCTCCGCTCACATCAAACCGCCAGCACAAAAGTGCCCCTAAACACCTTGGTCAATCTCAATGGCACCCTGGTCTTCTTTGATGGTGCGACAAATGCGAGTAATAATTCCTTTGGGATAGGAATCCTAATATGGAACACCACTACTGGGTTCCAAAAATGTCTTGCAAGGGGACTTTCAGGTTTGTACAGCTCACCAGTTATAGAAAGTCTAGCTGCTAGGGAGGGAATCGCCTTCGCCCTAACACTAGGCCTCGCTCAGATAACACCGGTGGGAGACTCCTCAACCATAATTCAAGGCTTAGACTCAGACATAGCAGGTTTATCAGATTGGGAATACATTCTGGTTGACATTAAAGTATGCTCTGAAAATTTTCTAAGTTTCAATAGTCATTGGATTAGCCATCGCTTCAATATTTTTGCTCACTCCCTGGCCCAATGGGCAAAGCGTGACAGCAATTTTGAAAAATATTGGGACATTGTGCCCCCATTTGTACCTCAATGCATGCTGGGTGCACTTCCAGCACGTTAATGAAGTTCATTTGTTATATAGAAAAAGAAAAAACAAAGATGGATGTAATGTGAGAGTTTTAGTTTCCTATGATGGGAAAAAAATAATCTGGAGACGAGTCTTCCAAGATCCACAAAGAAACTTTCCGAGATATAATAAAGCGCAGTGGACCGGAACTCTGTTTGGCCTGATCTTAAGAATAATGATTGAAAAATAGGAAGAACTTACAGGAGGAAAACGGAAGAGAATAGACCTAATCACATTCTTAAGGTTAATTAGTTAACTACTACTCCCACACATGATGATCCTCAAACCAATAAGAAAGACACGTTCGAGTATAATAAGAGAGGGAAAAAAAAGAGAAATCCACAACTCTTGCTCTGTCGCGTCATGGATTAACACAGGAATCAAACATCGTAATTTTTTAAAAACTAACGATCAAAGTGAAGACAGAATTTAACAGAACCATATATCTTTTTATATAATAACATTTGAAATTATATATATATACTTAATAAACGATAATTTAAATCCGTCAAATAAATGATAATAAAAGAAAAATCAACTCCGTTATCAACTAGATCATAACAGAAGGAAGATAACTGTAACTTGTAGTTTGTGCGAGAAAACACAAAAGATATCTTGCGACACTTTTATATCGTACTCAATACGATATTAATTAAACATATTTAATAATATCTCTAATTATCGCATGTCTACTAGTAATAAGTTTCATATAGAAGTGTAACACTGTCGATGGTAAATTCCGGAGGCGTGGAGTCAATGGTCAAACCTGAACGTGGACCTGCAAGGCAAGGATTAGCACTCTGAAGATTAAGTTAGTGCTAGAGAGAGAAGCAACCAATTAACACACTTAGAAAGAGAAACAGAGTGTAGAATTGAGTTTGCAATGGGATATTTATAGTTCCCAATGGGACAATAACTGTGGATCCCGCTACTCAGGGGCAAAATCGTAATTAATAGTAGATGGCAACCACATAAAAGGGGGCTAACCACTTAAAGACAAGATGGACAGTTTGGGCCTCTACTAAAGCCCAAACTTTAGCTCCCTTTGGGCCGGTTAGGGTTGACCTCCTACAAGTGCCCCTGTCGAGCCCAGCTGGCACAACCAATCTGGCCTTGATACCAAGGATATTAAGGCCCAACGGAGTAGCCCAGTCTTCAGAAGCTTCTCTTATTGGGGAGCCCTAGATCTAACACTCCAGGATCTTTCCCGCCCAAACTATTCGAACGCTCGCGATAGCCTGAGACCGTGCCGCAATGATGACACCCTTTGGAGAATCGAGGGGGTTGTTCATCTCCTTCTGGGTATATAAACGTCATTCAGGGCCTGGAAACCATTTCTTCTTTCTTTTCTTCTTAGAACCCCAGTGCAACGATTCTATTGTCTTTCTTCATTCGCGTTTGGACGCACAATCACCTCTCCCACGTCAAAATTACCATCCGTCACCACCGGCCGCAACATCAGATCTGCGCTTTTCGTGTAAGTATCTTCCCTTCGTCCTTGATTCATTTTGAAATATGGCCAAGGAAGTAGTTAGGGTAGAAGACATTCAATGTTCCTTAAACTGGGACAAGTTGAACGAAATAGAGAGTAAGTATAGCCTTACGGCTATCCACCCCCTATTCCCGGAGAGTTTTGAGAGGGCTGACACGCCTCCTATGGGAAAGATCACAATTTACAAGAAGTTTTTGGAATATGGGCTACATTTCCCCCTTATGCCCATGTACAAGACCATAGTAGAGACCTTTGAGAGACCGTTAGCCCAGTACACTCCTAACCTATTAACCATAATTCTAGGGTGGTTTAGTTTTACCAAAAACCCCCAGGGCCCTTCTAAAGAGCTGATCTCCAAGAACGACAGTTCTAAGTATTGGAGGTCGGGTTTCTTTTATGTGGATTCGGATTTAGCCGACCTCTATCTATGGAAGCCGGACGATGAGGGAACAAAAAGCTTAGATCCGTGGACCAAAAAGGACAAGAAAGATTTTGAGTCCAGAAAAAAAGATCTGGGGACAAGACGTACAACTATAGGCAGATCCCGTCACTGAGCGATACAATCTGCTCCAATAACCAAGGTGTTTCATCCGAAGGCTAACTTTGACGTCCTTTGTTTCTTTTGATAGGTATTATTGCTATAATCTGATGGGTAAATGCTCGGCTTTTGATGACTCAGACGAAGAGGAGCCATCCCCAGAGAAGAACCTGATTGAGGCTGCACCACTGACGGACACCCGAGCAACCGTCAAGCCTAAGGAGAAAATCCGCGAGGAAGGGTCGAGGAAGAGGGTACCTCCGGGTTCGCCTACGGGCCCCCATAAAAAGACAAGGACATGAAAAGATGAGCCTACGGCTCCCCCCACTCGTGAGATTCCCTCCGCGGACCAACTATTAAAGGAGGGGTACGAAGACCGTGGGCAAGATTTGAGTCATCTCGAAGGCATCCCGGAAGGTCACGCCTTGTTGACTTTCAACCCGCCGTGGGTTGAATGTGAGGATGTACCTGCAATAGACAATCCTCGGATAGAGGATGACATGAAGCAAATAAGTTTTTCCCTCTCGACCTGATACTATTAAGACAGTTTGGGTCTTAGTTCGGTTCTTGTTTGGCAGGCCGTGCAGGCGATTGGATCATTCGTGACGGTTTGCGCGAACCTGGAGTGGCAAGTGGCTTCGGCCAGGAAAAAGGCCTTCAACGAGGCCAACAAAGTAAAGGACGCGGAGGCACGGGTTCAGGCCTTGACAGAGGAGAAAGGTCATTTAGAAGAAGACCTTTTCGCCACCCAGAGGAAATCGGAAGAGTAAACCGTGGCCCATAACATTCAGATCGAGGGCCTGCGAGCCGCGACTATCCCCAAGTCTAAGCTCGACCAGTACATCATCAAAGGGTTAAAGAGGTACCTAGGGTCTGCCGAGTTCGCCCTCGGCATAAATGATGTCATGGACCCCGCAATTGAGATAGGGGCCAGGAAGGCCTTGTTGAAGGTAGGGGCGGCCAAGAAAAAGAAGGAGGACATTAGGCCGATACTGGACAAGTACGCGGATAGGGCCATGAAAGGGAGGACGTCCGCGGTAAGACTGCGATGCAAGGCTCGGAGGCACTTCCGAGACATGGACTTCGCTCTCCTCCCAGTGATCGAGCAGATGTCCCAAGTTTGCCCCACCATCACATCGCCCGAGGACATTCTGAACATTCCTGGGAGCCCTTCCTTTGTTTTCAAGATGTCGAAGGGGGTTCAAACGTCGCAAGGGCCCGACGAAGTCGAGCAGCCGAAGGACAAAGAGGCTCAGACGCCCCCGAAAGAAGGCAACTCATCGAGCCAAAGCAATGGCGGCACCTCAACCGATTCCAACACCAGCAATGGGGACAAGGTGAATGACGCTTAGGGTTAAGTCTTATGCTTGTAATCGTATTATTCTCCTTGTAATGCATATTTGAGTTATTTGAATGCAAAGACCCGAACCTTCACAGAAGGTTTTATTTTTTTTTTTCTTAGTGTCTTGCTTTTATTTTCATGACCCAAGATAGCCCGAAGCTAACACCCGTCATTAATTCGCCCACGAAATCCCAATCTAAGGACTTACGTGCACTACATACATCATGTTTTAGGGAAAGAAAACCACGTCGCCACCAACCGACCCTCCCGAGGGAAATTCACAAGGCGTGCCACCAACTCCCGGGAAGTGGGAGACTTCAGGCATTCCATGGACGGATATGCAGTTACCCGACCCATATTTAGACACGAAATCTTACCCCATTTATGCAGCCGTGGGCAGGGCCTTAACGGAACCCCCAGTAGACCGAGGTCGCGGAAGACTTTCCGGATTAGAGGACCAACTGAAGGAGGCCCTGAGCGCGATTAAGGCATCGAATTTAGACGAGGCTCGAAGGGCAGTCGTGAAGTTGAAGGGCGAAAACGACCGTCTAGACAGGCTGCGGAGGGACACAGAAGCATATTGGGAGGATCATATGAAGAACTCGATGCAGTTGGAGATGTTAGCCAACGAGCATCTTTGGACATTCGAGGCCAAGATTAGGAAAAACAAGAAAGATAACGGTTTACCGAAGCCCGACCCTAAAGACTTCATACCCCGTAACTATTATGAAAGCGTATCGGTTCACCTTCGAAAAGCCTACACTTTGGTTGCAGTGAAATGGGACCGCGCCTCTGATAAGATAGAATCTCTACGGGCGTATATCGGTCAACTTCGGGCGGCTCTCGAGGGCGCGGTATCGTTCATTGTGGAATCGGGAAAAATTATGATTTCGTAGAGTTGTGACCCGAATCCTGCCCCGTTATAAAAGACGACCCTGCTTCCCCTACTCGTGAACTGAGCGTCTGATATATGAGAATGACGCCCTCTTTCACGAGTTGAGGCAGGGGTCGCACTAGGCGTATTCTTGGTTAGGACTTTTTGAGATATTTTTGTAACTGCACATATCTGAGACTCATACCCTTGAAGATACAAAATAGAATTGCTCGTATTTTTGCAAAAATCGACCCCATTTCTTTCCTTTATTCATCTATTTCCTTTATCATACGTTATTTTATTACTTGTTTTACGGTTGTGTATAAAATTCACTAGACTACCAGAGGACGACTAGGCTACCTGCGGGTGGCGTGCTATCTTCCCCCAAATTTTATATTTTGAACCGTAGTACTTTAACAAATGGGATTTTGATTGCTAGTAGGAAACGTACCTCTCGTCCGTGAAAGGTGACCGTTGGGGTGCCTATTCATAAGGACACGGGAGCCTTCGGCCACAAGGGTCGAATCGTATTTGTGAGAAAAATGACCAAGGCCACAGGGGCCGTAGGAGTTCCGTAGGCCGCAGGGGCCATACAGTGCCGTCGGCCACAGGAGTCGAGACGGACTTGTAAAAAAGGCTCCAAGGCCACCGAGGCCGTAGGAGTTCTGTAGGCCGCGGGGGCCATACGGTGCCGTCGGCCACATGGGTCGAGACGGACTTGTAAAAAAGGCTCCAAGGTCACGGGGGCCGTAGGAGTTTCGTAGGCCACGGGGGCCATACGGTACCGTCGGCCACAGGGGTCGAGAGGGACTTGTAAAAACCGCTCCAAGGCCAGGGGTCGTAGGGGTTCGGTAGGCCGTGGGGGCCACACAGTGCCGTCAGCCACACGGGTCGAGACGGACTTTTAAAAAGGCTCCAAAGTCATGGGGGCCATAGGAGTTTCTAGGCAGCGGGGGCCACACGGTGCTGTCGGCCATATGGGTCGAGACGGACTTGTAAAAAGGCTCCAAGTACATAAGAGGAATCCGTATATTGACAGCAAAAGCGGTTACATCCTAGTCCCCGAAACAACCGAAACGAGGGACATAACTATTACAAAAGATGGGGACGACCCTCAAACGTGAACCTTTTTAAGATTCTGTATGTTCCACCATCGGGGAATGTTGCGAGGCTCGTCTTCACACGTGCGCAAGTGATAACTCCCCGAGGGTGACAATTCCACAACCTTGTAGGGTCCTTCACAATTAGGAGACAGCTTTGCCAAAGGCTCAGCATGGCTAGCATCGACTTCCAGTTCCCGGGCCCGAACCTTGGAGTTGTAGTATTTGGCCATCAGCTGCTTGTACTTGGCTTCGCGGGCATTGGCTAGGTTGCTTTTCTCGTCTAGGAAGTCTAGGCAGAGACGGATTTTGTCTTCGTTCATTTCCTCCGCGAAGTTAACCACCCGGGGGCTGGGAACTTCGATCTCAGCAGGGAGGATAGCTTCCATGCCATAGACGAGGCTAAAAGGTGTCGGCCCTATTGCGGTCCACATGATGGTGCGGATTGCCCAAAGGATGTGGGTGAGCTCCTCAGGCCATAGACCGCCCGCGTGCCTCAACTGCATCTTTATGCCTTGCAAAATTGCCTTGTTTATGCTTTCAGCCAAACCATTGGCCTGGGGATGTGCAACAGAGGAAAATCGCCTTTCGATGTTGAACTATTTGCACTAAGATTTGAAGAGTCCGGACTCGAACTGCGTTCCGTTATCGGAGATCAGCACTTAAGAATTCCAAACCGGTAGATAACATTCTTCCAGAAGAACCTTGCCACCTTCGATCCCGTGGTAGAAGCTAAAGGCTCGGCCTTGACCCACTTAGAGAAATAATCGATGGCCGGTCTTCTGGGGCCGTATCGAAAGGGCCAATAATATCCGTCCCCCAAAAACGGTCATCGTGTGGCCCCCGCTCAGGCGAGTAGGACGGGCGTCGTCGAGACGTCTGCCGGGAATGGTCCTTACTCTTTTCAGTCTCTTTACCGGTCCGACGGGACCGACTCTTTTTGTGCTCGGCTGCCGCGCTCCTTATGATGATCACTGCGTCTCCCGGACCGGCTCTGTTGATCGCTGGTCTTAGAGGCTCCACCCGTGTCTCCACCCTCCTGCTCTCCTCTTGTGATTTGGGGGAGGCACGGGAATCACCTCCAACCACTTGCGACCTAAGTCCTGGCCAACGGCTGGTCCCCTCATCAGGCCTCATCCGAGTAGAGACCATAACTCTCGTAGAACACGTGGACTCACCCTCGGCCAAGTAGGAACAGTGTCCCCACAGTCGGCGCCACTTGTCGAGGGTAAATCCCGGAGGCATGGAGTCAACGGTCAAACCCGACATGGACCTACAAGGCAAGGATTAACACTACGAAGATTAAGTTAGTGCTAGAGAGGGAAGCAACCAATTAACACACTTAGAGAGAGAAACGGAGTGTGGAATTGAGTTTGGAATAAATGATCATGGAATATTTATAGTTTCCAATGGGACAATACCTTTAGACCCCGCTACTCGGGAGCATAACCGTAATTAAGAGTAGATGGCCACCACATAAAAGGGGCTTAACTACTTACAGACAAGATGGGCCGTTTGGGCCTCTACTAAAGCCCAAACCTTAGATCTCTTTGAGCTGGTCAGGATTGACCTCCAACACACACGCAATGTCATTAAAGAGTCTTGGAATTTCTTTTTTCCACCCTAACGCAATATATAGGCATACATATATATACATATATACGCAGACATATATATATATATATTTGTATATATGTATATATGTATATATCTAGGACCTGAAGGTCCAAATCCTGTTCCACCACCTTCTGACCGGAGTTTGCAATAATCGGCAGCTATAGTGAGAATCATTCCACTTTGATCCGCAGTTGTAACAGAATTCATACTTGCTCCTGCAAGTTATATGCGAACAACCATCGCTTCTTCTCACTAGTATCTTGCAGTTAGGACATTTCTGCCAGCCTTTCTTCTTAGCAAGAGATTTCAGCTTCTTTTCATCTTTCCCTTCATTTCTACCTTTCAATTCCTGAGAGTTTGGTATAAACGAACGCCTCAAGAACTCGTCCCACTCAGCGAGCACGACGCTTGGGACCATTAACCGGCAAGTGTTGTAATTGACTGAAGCGTTGCAATCTACTGCGATGCGTTCTTTGCAAAATCAGTGGCGGCAACAGTTCTTTGTGAACATCTGGTGACTTTTTAAATCCTCCTCCATGCATATTTCACAACCGAATCGCAATCCTTTGCATCAAAAAAGAACGAAGAAAAACAAAAAAACCTCAATTAATATAAGAGTGAACAGAGAGAATGATTTCAATTTGGATATGCGTTGCTTGAGAGAAACACACATATAGAACCAAAAAAATGGAATAGCCATTGCCCATTTTCCTTCACTCTCATCATTTGCATGTTTTGTGCTTTGTAAATCCACTCTAATTCAGGTTAGAGCAAACTAATGGTCTAAAGAAGTTTGTTCTGAATGAATTAATAAGGCTATATAATATGATAAACGCGTACCTGTCCTCAAACATTTAAGAAAGGAATCAAAAAAGGTGACTGAAAAGTGGAAATATAAATATTCTCTCTGTTCTAAAAAACGTTTATATTAAATCTTGTAATTTATACTGAAAATTGTACAAAATACAACACTCAATGTGAATTATATTTTTGAGACAGAGGTAGTTCAATATAAGGTTTTGTTCCATAACAGAAATCAAATCGACCTTATAGCCTTTATTACGTCGTGAAACAATTAGCTTAAGAGTAAAAAGTTCAAATAGAGCAATCATACTATTTAATTGAAAATGCTTTAGACCAATGATTAAGGGAGAGACGAATTGGCAAAGCCAGTTGCGCTTAGAAATAGTGGCAAGACTTGCATTAAAAATTTTACCTATTAAAAACAGTGCTATGATCTTAAAGCCTGGTTATACATGTTCCCAAAGGCCAGGAAAAATACTCATGCTTATGCTTTTGTCTAGGCGGGCGCGCGCCCGCATACAGGCACACAACACACACATATATACATACTTACATACACACATAATACATATATAACTCTTATATTTTAGTCTCAAAGTTAGGAAACATCCAGTAAATTAGTCACAATTTATTAAATTATATAGATTTAGTTCCAAAGTTTGAACAAGTAATTGATTTTAATCTCAAAGTGTTGTGTCACTCGAATACTTTTATCGGAAAAATAATATAAAGTATTCTCAAATCCCAATAATAATAAAAAAAAAACTCAACTTTCAAGTAAAAGGAAGTCCAAACTTTTTTAGCCATGGGAAAAAAAAAATCTCATCTTCCATCGTGATCAAAACAACAAAAGTGAACCAAGAACGGATATCAAAAAGAGAAGAGGGGAAAATACAAACATACCATAATTAGTAAGTTTTCGTAGCAGCGCATTTGTTCTGCCGGAACAAAGAACCGAAATAGCAGCAGCAGCAATCACACAAAACAAAATAGCCAACAAGGATGAAATCATCGGACTCAATTCATGATCAGAGGTTGTGGTGATCATCAAGAAGCAAGCCATGGAGATTAATAAATCACTCAGAGATTGTCTTCAAGAATCTGAGTTGTGGAATTAAATTAAATAACTCAGGGAGGGGTCATGTTGATAATAAAAAGATTATAATAACGTAATCTTTCATGCCGAGAAAATTCACAACCTAATAGAAACTAGCTAGTCCTGTTACCTTTCCCTTTTCAACTTGAAAAAAAATAAGTGGAAGACAGTTACCAGCTTGGGAACCCAGCTTGACCAACATATATATCTCATGTGTTACTCTTCTCATTGTCAATTGGTTTTGAAATGTAACCATATGTGAGCTTCTATGGGCTTTCAAAATAGTATCAGATCGGATTTTAATCCGCGGACTTTGTGGATATACATTGATTGACATATATCCGAGTACTTTGATTTACTCGTATTTGGTTTTATTTGTATTAGGTTTTGACTGACCCGGCAGTATATTCGATGACGTTGATTTACCTATATTGAGCTTTATCCGTATTGAGTTTTGACTGATCTAACAGTATATCAGAGAACT